AATTCCTTCTCCGTCACCGTGTAGTTCCGTTGAGCTTCATTCATAGTCTTGCTTGCATAGTACACAGGATGGAACATTTTGTTCACTCGTTGACCCAACACCGCCCCAACCGCAACGTCACTTACATCGCACATTAGTTCGAAGGGCAAACTCCAATTGGGTGCGGTAATGATCGGTGTGGTGGTAAATTTGTGCTTTAGAAGTTCAAAGGCCTCCATGCATTTTTCATCCAAAAACAAACTTAGCATCTTTCTCTAACAACTTGCAAAAGGGATTCACAACCTTAGAGAAATCTTTGATAAACCGCCGGTAGAACCCGGCATGCCCAAGGAAACTCCTCACCCCTTTGACAGAAGTGGGGGGAGGAAGCCTCGAAATTACCTCAATCTTAGCCTTGTCTACCTCAATCCCATGCTTAGAAATCTTGTGACCCAACACTATACCTTCTTCAACCATAAAATGGCATTTTTCCCAATTGAGAACGAGATTAGTTTCTTCACATTGGGCCAAGACTCTATCCAAATTTACCAAGCACTCTTCAAAGGAATCACCAACCACACTATAATCATCCATAAAGAGCTCCAATATATCTTCCACCATGTCGGTGAAAATAGCCATCATGCAACGTTGGAAGGTCGCCTGAGCATTGCACAACCCGAATGGCATCCGGGAGAAAGCAAATGTACCATAAGGGCATGTAAAAGTTGTCTTCTCTTGGTCTTCCGGGGCAATTAAAATTTTATTATAGCCCGAATGCCCATCAAAAAGCAATAGAAAGCTCGCCCCGCAAGGCGATCAAGCATTTGATCGAGGAATGGCAATGGAAAATGATCCTTGCGGGTCACTTTATTTAGCTTCCGGTAGTCCATGCAAACTCTCCACCCAGTAATGGTTCGAGTGGGAATAAGCTCATTGTTGTCATTTTTCACCACCGTCATCCCACCTTTCTTTGGTATACACTGCACCGGGGAAGTTCATGAGCTATCGGATATTGGATACACCACACCCGCATCAAGCCATTTGATCACTTCTTTCTTCACCACCTCTTGCATTGCTTCATTTAGCCTCCTTTTATGTTCTAAGGAAGATCTTGCATCATCCTCCAAGATAATTTTATGCATGCAAAATGCGGGGCTTATTCCCCGGATGTCCGCCCGAGTCCATCCAGTTTCCCTTTTTCGCCTTTGATGCACCTCCAAAGTGGCCTCAACCTGCAAGTTAGTAAGGCAAGAAGAAAGAATAACTGGAAGAGTTGAATTAGAGCCCAAAAATTCATACCTGAGGTGTGGGGGAAGTGGCTTCAACTCCAACACCGGTGGCTCCTCAATTGATGGTTTTGTTGGTTGAGTTTTCCGGTTTTCAAGTTCCAAAGACAATTTTCTCGGCTCATAGGAATAAGAGCCCATCCCATGTAATGCATTGACACACTCCACTCTGCTTGCATCATCATCGACATCAAGATTTAATAGCACGACCTCAAGGGGATCCTCCACGTTGATCATAGAACTTGTGTCATCCACTATCACAGCTGTGACAATGTCCACAAAAGAGCACAGCTCGGTGCTATTGGATTGCTTCATGGATTTGCAAACATGGAAGACCACCTTTTCATCTCCCACTCGGAAAGTTAGCTCACCCGCTTCAACATCAACCAATGCTTTTCCCGTTGCTAAGAAAGGTCTCCCTAGAATAATTGGAACCTCATAGTCCACCTCACAATCCAAAATCACAAAGTACGCCGGCAAAATGAATTTGTCCACCCGGACAAGTACATCATCAACTATACCCAAAGGACGCTTCATTGATCTATCTGCCATCTATAATCTCATGGAAGTTGGCCTTGGAGGCCCAATACCTAGAGTCTTGAAAACTGAGAAGGGCATTAAATTGATGCTTTCCCCAAGATCACATAAAGCCCTGGCAAAGTCTGCACTACCAATAGTGCAAGGGATAGTAAAAGCACCGGGATCCTCTAATTTTGGGGCCATTGAATGAACTATGGCACTAACTTGGTGGGTCATCTTGATAGTTTCACACTCCATTGATCTTTTCTTTGTAACCAAATCTTTCATGAATTTCGCATACCCAGGCATTTGTTCCAAAGCCTCCACCAAAGGTACGTTGATGGATAAGCTCTTCATCATGTCAATGAACTTTTTAAATTGGTTGTCACTTTTCTGCTTGGCTAGCCTTTGAGGATAGGGGGAGGTGGTCTAGGCAAAGGTGCCTTGGCTTTTGGCACCACCGGCTCCGGCATGTCAATTTTGTGCTCCCTAGACGGGTTCACGGCCTCTTGAGTTTCCACCTCGGCTTCATCAATGTCAATCCTCACATCATTGTTCACCTCATTCTCAACTACATCTTCAACTACCAAAGGAACATCATTTTCTTGCAACTCAACATCATCATCCACAACTTGCTTATCTTTCTAGGCGTGCACATCACCGCCTCTTCCATTTCTTGTTGTAACCTCCATCATATGATTGTTCCCACCTTTAGGGTTCACTACCGTATCACTTGGTAGAGCACCCTTTGGGCGAGTATTCAACGATTGAGAGATTTGGCCTAATTGCACCTCCAAATTCCGAATGGAGGTATTATGGAAAGCCAATTAAGCATCGGAATCTTGGTTCTTCTTCATCATTGTTTCAAACATCATTTTTATTCTTCCCATATCATTACCCGAAGAACTAGATCCTTGAGAAGGGAATGGGGGTGGATTGTTCGGATGCTGGTACATTGGGGGCCTTTGGAAGCCTTGCCCCCGATTGCCTTGGTTTCCGTTGTTGTTCCAATTGCCTTGAGCATTGTTGTTCCAATTGTTGTTATTACCATTCCAATTCCCTTGGTTGCCTTGATTGTTGTTTCCCCAATTACCGCCTTGGTTATTATTGTTCCAATTACCACCACCTTGTTGTTGATTGCCCCAATTACCTTGGGGTCTCCATTATTGGTTTGAAGAGTTGCCTGTATTGCCTTGATAGTTGTTAACATATTGTACCTCCTCATTTTGCTCATCATAACCCTCATTTTGAAACCCATCACACTCATCATCAAATTGCTCGGAATTCCCTTGATTTTGTTGCCTCCTTTGCCTTCTCTTGTTGGTAAGCAAATTGACACTTTCCATAGCATTCACTTGGCGAGGGTTTTGGACTTGTTGCAACTGTGCCTTAGCCAATTGATTCATAGTAGTTGTCAACTCCTCTATAGCTTGTACATGGTCATGTAACTCCTTGTGCAAATGGATAACTGTAGGGTCACCTTGAGGAACATTGGCCCTACTTTGCCATGCGGAAGATGTATCCGCCATCTCATCAAGAATCTCGCATGCTTCATCATAAGACAACTTCATGAAATTACCCCCGGCCAATTGATTTACTATGCATTGATTTGTAGTATTGATTGTTGACATGTGATTTTTGACCCTCCCCGAAATTTTACCCATTTTAGCATGTAAATAATTAGTTTAGGCCTAATATCGCCATTTCAACTAATTTTTACTATTTTACTTTATTTTATTACAAGAAAATGAAAAATTACAAAAAATAGGTTTATTAATATTTTATAGTCATTTTTAATCTTAAAAAAATAAAATTACCAAAATAGTACCCTATCTTTATTTTTATAATCTTGAAAACACAAAAAAAGTAGTTTTATGTTTTATAGTTTAGTTCAATTAATTAAAATTAGTCTTATATTTTTATATTATAATTGTACATAATTTTAGAAGAAAGAATTACTTTTATGTTGGTTTATCCCGTTTTTATAAATCTTATAGTCCATTTTTTAGTCTTTGGCCCAAAATCCCTAGCTCATAGTTCCTAGGCCCATACCCCTAGCCTAATCCCTACCCTATATAATACTACCTACACCCTAAACATCATAGACACCTAAAAAACACACACCCTAAGAAAAAATACATTGAAATCCGCCGCTGAGCAGAACACGACCCCCCCGGACCTCTCCAAAACTTGATCTTCTTCAAAAAGCTTCCAGCGAAAAACAGCACAGAACAGCCCCAAAAATTGCCTGGAATAAGCTGAAAATTGACCGTGAAATAACCCCTCAAACCCGGCAAAATCAGCCGAGAAACAGCTACTTTTAAACCCGCAACATCAGTTACAAAAATCGTAGTTGTCGTCACTCTTTAACCCCAAAACAGTAGCTCAGATTGTTGCTAATTCCACCGCGAAACAGAACCAAAATTTCAGTCGGGTTTGAGGTCGCTGACGAGATTCCGAGCTCCGGTCGTTGGTCAGACTCTTACGCTTCGTTCACCTTGAGAGTGCAACTGTAATATCCAAGGCAAATTTGTCAATATAAATGTCGACCTTCCCATTCCATTCCGGTTTATATGGTGTTCGCTCAAGTTTCCGTGAGTCTGTTTGATATTTTTGTTATTCTTCATTTGTCTTTTCTTTAATTGCTTTCTTCTACTTAAGAGTCTTGATCTGCTTCTCTGCCCAGTCTCCCATAAATGCCTTAGATATTTGGTTTATTTGGTTTAATTGTAATTAGTTTTACTAAATACTTTAATGTGTTATTTTTGTATTTTGAAGTGATTAGTTAGACTAATAGAGTGGATTAACAAATAAAGAAGAAACAGCAGGGGTTAAAAAATTTAAGTTAGCTTTCATTTGTACTGTCAGGTTGGCTTAAGCAATTATTGCAGCAATAGAGATTTTGAAGACTAGTATTCAGTTTTGGAATTTGCTTATGTTTACTTATTTTTAGGGTATTTTAATCCTATGAACATCCAACTTTGCTGCTTCAAGTCGGAGTAGTGATGTTAAAATCGAGAATTGATGGATTCGAGACCGAATTTTGATTTAGATTAAGCATGAACCCCGTAATTCGCTTTAGTTGAATATAATTCCTTTATTTTAATAATTTGAGGTGTGCCATTTTCATTAAATAACCCATGGCCCTCGCGTAATTAATTAGCCCTTTAGAAATCGAGGCGTGCCATTTAGCGAAATT